CGTACCTTTTGGCTCAGCCTCCCCCTTTCGGCCGCATCCGGGCATCGTGGCACCCACTTCGCCCCTCCGGCCCCTTCGCACCACAATTCTTTAACGCTAAATCTCTTTTCGGCCTCGTAAAATACCGGCTCGCTCGTGATTTGTAGCACAGATGCACTTTATAATGTGTTTGAGCTCCAAATAATCGACTTGATTTTACGATTCGAAAACGTCGACGGCTATTACGCACTTAAACGACCTTCATTACTTCTTATTGCGTTTTACAGGGTCTATTCAACCCTGATAAACAGTCATATGTCCACTACTCTTATTTGGTCAAAACTTTCTCAGATTTACCTCCTCCTGCATTAGAAAGTCTCAAGGTATCCATTATTTCGATTGTGCTTCTTTCAGCGGGTGGTTATAGAAAGCGACGCTCAAAATCATCGGCTTTTCCTACCTAATGGAAATAGCTCCTTAACTGTCAGTGTTATTCATCCGGCAACGTATTCAGCAGCGAATACAAATTTCAATGCCTAGATTATTTAAAATCGATTCGAGTCTCGGCGTTCCTTCCGTCTCACGATTTTCAAAATTCCTCCCGCTACCGGAATGCGCGCAAACGCCAGCTATTCATATACTTGGCCACATTAAAAGCTGATTATTTCGTTATAGTGGAGGAATAACTTTACTGCTTTAACGGTCAAATTAATCGCCTCAAGGATAAATGCGGATTCATATCTCACGGCAATCATGTACAATGCGGTGGGGTCATGAAAAAGCAAATAAAAGTAATGTAAGCTCGGTTATTTATAAAGGTATAATTGAATACCAGAAAATGGAGTAAGGAAGAGCGAGCAGTGGCCCATTATATTAGCTCGGTGAGCGAATAGCCGCGCATAGCTAATCCAACGTAATCGCGTGCCACCCCTACTAAACTGCACCACTACTCTGCGCAATCTCTCTCACCGGCTCGACAATCACACGCTTGACTTTTTCTGCACTGCAACGGTCGATTGCCGCTCTCTCTCTCTCTCTCTCTCTCTCTCTTACCATCATTCGTACGCTCGCTCATCGTTCGATACATAATACCTTACGCATCCAATATATAATTTGCCCCTCTCCTTAGCGTTCTCCACTACGGCCTAAAGAGACTATTAATAAAAGTTGATGCCGCGGAAAATGAGCTCTCAATTATCGAGCTGCGCGTTCTTGTGTCGTAGGTCCGTTGAGGCCGGAACTAATCGTAATCAACCATCGAATCCTAAGGACGACTCGGTACTCCGTCGGGGGGAGGAGACAGCGGGAGGCAAAATGAGCGCTGAACATTTGATAAAGAGAGGAAGGGTGAGTGCGACAGACAGTCAGACAGAGAGAGAGAGAGAGAGAGAGAGAGAGAGAGAGAAAGAAAGAGAGAAAGAGAGAATGCGAATGAGTTTGCGTGTATGCCTGCGAAGTGAAGGACAGGATCGGGGGGAGGGAGAGAGAGAGAGAGAGAGAGAGAGAGAGAGAGAGAGAGAAAGAGAGAGAAGCCAGAGCTTCGTCTCGAGTCGCGCATCCGCGCGCGCGCTTCTGTTTTATTCAGTCGGCATCATAAATAACGAGTTTAAACACACAATGAAAGACGCTTAACAAGAGGCTAACGCGATATTGAGAGGCCCCGCCCCCGTGGGGAGCCGTCGGCCAATGGCGGATCTCGGGGGCCGACGACCCGCCCCGGCGGCTCCGCGCCCGGGGGCAGCGCCGCCCGGAGCTGCCTCCGCCAGCCCCGAGCTCTGGCCGCGCCAGAGACGCCCTTGGTGCCGAGCCGAGCGGAACGGCCGCGCGCGCCCCGAGAGCCGAGCGAGCCCGAGCGCAGCCGACGAGCGCAGCCGACGAGTGCAGGAGGCGCCCCCGGGCCACGTCGCGGCGCCCCGTCCGAGAAGTATGCGCGTGGCGAGATGGTGTGCACGCTGAGCAAGGAGAGGAGCCTGAGCCGCGCGGAGTCAAGTAGCCTGGCGGATGCGGGCGCGCTCGAGCGCCTGGCCGTCCTCGACATGTCCTCGGCCTCCTCGCTCGCCGCCGAGCAGCGGGCCCAAGCGCAGCAGCAGTCGCCCCCGGCGCACCAGCAGCTACTGGGGCCGCGGGCCCGCCGGCCTGGGAGCCCGAGCCCCAGCCGCCAGCCTGAGCATCCTCAGCCGGACGAGCGGAGCTCCTCCGTGGGTTCCTCCATGGGCTCGTGCTCCCCGCCCCCGCAGCTGCCCGCGCAGAGCCACTCGCCGCCCGTGGCGCGGCCGCCCTGGCTCCACGACTTTGCCTCGCCCCACGTGCTTCAGTTCCTCAACCTGAACGCGGCCGCGGGCTCGATGCTCGCCGCGAGCCAGCCCCTCGCCGCGCTTCACTCGATGGCCGAACGCAGTCATCATCATCAGCAGCAACAGCAACAGCAACAGCAACAGCAGCAACAACAACACGGACAACAGCAGCAGCAGCAACTCCATCAACAGGCTGCAACCCAGCATCAGCATCAGCATCAGCAGCAGCAGCAGCAGCAACAGCAACAGCAACAGCAACAGCAACAGCAACACCAACACCAACACCAACAGCACCAGCACCAACAGCAGCATCATCATATTCAGCAGCAGCAACAGCAGCCGCATCAGCAGACACTGCAAGGCCAGAACTCACCGACGGGTAGCGGCAAGCATAGTCCGGCTACCTCAATCACCTCCGTCGGCAGCAATCCCCACGGCATCGACACGATTTTATCGAGGCCCGCGGCGACGCAGCCGAGCTCGGGCCCCGGTCTCGGACAGTCCCAGCACGCGATGCCCGCTAGCCCCCACGGACAGCACTTGCCGCCGGCCCCGAGATACGCTATGCACGCAGGATTCGCCGCCTCCACGGGTCCGTATACTCGTGATTCGCCTTCTCCACTGTGCTTTCGCGCCATCGTCATCACCACCACTACCACCACAACCACCAGCATACATCTGTCTCGTATCTCCTCTCATCTCCTACCACCCGCCCCTCGCCTTACCGCGACCATTCCTCGTCAGCATGTCATCTGCCCCTCGCCCGACCTCCCTCTTCTCATGCAAGCACTCACGCACGCACACGCTCACTCTCTGTCGGCTCCATGTTCTGACGTCCAAGTCGAGCTTTTTTCGAATCTTTCTTCTTGTGTTCGGTGGGTGATTAGTGCTTTGGCAATTATATCAACCTTTGTTGAAACGGACCACGAACCAAAACTCCGTAGTCCTATTATGAACGATCGCCAAGTGTACGGATTCTAATTATTCCGAGTTATTTTATATTTTTGCCACGATACGATCGATCATATTTGCCTTCTCTTGCCTTTTCTATGCCTAATAAAATTATTTAAAGCAAAAAACAAAACGCATGCACCATCCTCCATTCGTTTATTTTACTAAATTGCATTACAATTTTGATTTCCCTCGAGCTTATCAGGCTCAAGTCTTACGACTCTCATAATTCATCTGCATTGATCTTCAAATTACGACAGGCCTAATATTGATAAATACGGCATTTATGTAAAATAACAATCACCATTTATTACGTATAACTTTAATAATTACAATAATTCTGCTCTTCTCACTCGAGCCCTATAAATAAAACAAAAATATAATTTTTTTCTCTTAAACGTGCACACGCACACGCATACGCACGTATTTACCACCCATCACACGCATAATGTATACTCTAATATAAATAGCTTTTAACTTGCTCTTGACATGCATTATCTTTCCATTGCGGCAATGAAATAGTTTATAAAGCCTGCGATTTACGATCTCATAAGCATCAAAAGCATTGTAGTTAAGTGATTTGCAAAATTATTAACCCATGTATGTTTATTTTTTAATATCCTATTGAGCATTATCCGACCATAAATGGCGAAATATCATTTATGCCTTGAAATAATCATCGAAAGTAGAAATCTTCTAACAATGTAAATTTTCTGCTAAACGTAATTTTCAATATCATCGGAAGAAAATCCAAAAACTATCGTACTACCAGTAAAAAGACCCCGCAATTCTAAGAATCCTAAAGCATACAAATTACAGACAAAGGTTAGGAGATGCATAAAGCTTGGAATAGAGGGGTGAGTATTGAGATCGTCGGGATGACATGTAGATTACGTCTTAATCCTTGAATCGAACATAACTGGAAACAAGATTGAAATTTATAGTCGTTTCATGCGATTGGAGCAACGATAAGCCCGAATACAGGCACATGTATCAGAGGACAATTAACGGGTTGTATAAGGGGTTGGGATGGAGGATGTAATGGATATTGGAAAACGAGGCGCTAATTGCCGTGGAATTGATTGTTGTTTAGGAATCGGGCAGTTCCAGCAGCGCACCGAGCCCCGACATCCGGCGGTTTACTGGCCGGGACTCCAAGGACTAGTCAGTGACCCGCTTGCCTGGAGGGCACGTCTGCACTCTCGTAAGTATACCTTGTATATCTTTCGTCTCACTCATTCGTCAATTTGACACCTCTTATTCTGCCGAGGCCTCCCCCTCCCCCGCCACGACGAGCATCGGTCGCCCCGCTCCAACGCCACAACTAGCGCGCGCACACACGTGCACACACCATGACCACCACCCCCCTTCTATCCTGCATCATCATACCGTATCCTGCCATGAACAAAGTCCATCCTCTCTTACCGCACACCATTTCGCATTATTTTTCTTGCGACGACACAGGCGACGCCACTTTCTTGATTTATTATTTGCAAAGCGAACGGTCCCTGCCCTCGTCCCTATGTTGTTGTCATTATAAGCCAAGTTAAACGAAAGCTTAAACGAAAAAGCTGCTTACCATTAATATTCATATTCAGAGATTCGACGATTCGAAACATTCCATTGTGGCAAAAATATTTAAAAAAAAAAAAAAAGAAAAAAAGAAAAAGGTCCAGCTTCTACGAATTAAGTTTTTGTCTTTGATCGGTCCACTGTCTTTCTTTTATTATATAATATAGAACTTTGAACATTCAAATCTCATTGTCCGTGAACAATAATTATATTTCCGATTTCTACAATTTGTATTACACCATCTATAATGAATTGTAATGTTTTGATCATTGCAATATCTTTTTTCTTATTAAACTTTTTGAATAAAATTTGAATCAGCTTATTCGTTATGAAACTCTCAACTCTCAATGTTCAAAGCATTAAACATTAAAAAGACAATTTAACATTTACAATGTCAAATTTTTAATTTTTAAATCACCGTACCATACGAACGTGTACATTTATTACTTGAATTCAAGTTTTACTTTCGGACTACTCAATGTATCATAACACTTGCATGCGATAATTAAATATAACTTATTAATCATAGATTTTACATTCGAAATTATTACAAAGTAACATACAAAATATAATTTAAACATATTTGCAAAGCTGCGGTAACATGAAAACTCTTACTTATTCAAAGCAGTCCATTATAATAACATTATAATAACAAATGGAATCTTCAAACATTTAAAAAAAACCAGTATGTTCCATAGATACTTTCATTGTTTTTTGCATTTTTCATTTCCTCAATATACAAATAGAAATGCAACATGTATTCATAAAAATTAAAATATCAGCCTCGATTGAACAATCAATTCAATTAAAAAACAATAAATGCTAATGAAATTTTCTAATTCGCATTTGCAAAGCGTTTCTTATGTATTTTTTGCTTTTGTGCATTCTATTCGTACTCTGAAATGCAAATATTTGTCGTTAAATTATGGCGCTAAAAAAGAAAAAAAAAAGAGAAATGAAATATTAGTCGATTGACTATCCTACATTGTCGATAATTTAGTTCTACTCCATTAAACATAATCTTATAAAATAAATGATAATCTTTCTTTAATGTTCTGAATAATTTCGAATAAAAATTAAAATTATTTTTACTTCACGTCTTCTCGGCGAATTTCATGTATTTAATCGCATTTTTAAAGCAAAGTATCTGTAGAGAATAACAGTTGAAAGCTCATATTATTATATTATATATATATATATATATATATATATATATATATATATATATATATATAATTATTATATTTATTTATTTTCTATTGTGTTTTCGTTTTCTTTGATATAATTGAACGTGCAATTGTAGATGAAAATAAACGTTAAACTACCTTAAAAGCTGCTTTAACGACACAGTATTATAAGAATTTTTTTTTCTCACTTATATCTGCAATTATGCTCCTATCTAGTATGCTATATACTTGTAGTTAAAGTAAATATAAAAGCAAAGCATAATGAAAGAATTTGCCTGTAACATGTTTTTGAGTGTTAAGCATAAACATTGTATTGACTTTGAAAATTCTACGTGTAAAACTGACGTTTTGAGGCTATTTACGTAAAAATATTATAAAATTTTATGATATTTAATTTGCAAGCCATTGAATTATTCATAGGATATATATTCTAGAATTATTAATCAAAGTCTAAAGTTCTTAATGATTTTAGCGAAGGTTATTACATAAAGCTCTATTACTTATTCAAATAAGTCGAAATATATGTATATGTAATAGCTGTTCAAGCCAATATTATTATCAGATCATAGCAATTAATATTTAACGTTATTATACAATTGTAATCGCAAGTCAATTATCGTTCTGTTACACAACTTCATTTTTATAAATAGTAAAGATAAAAGTAGTGGTAAGTTAATATTATTAGAATTGTGGCTTTGTCAATCGGAATTTGTCCACACTCTAAACAAACACAATGTATAATTGAAACTTATACACATGGAATGATTTTCTAGGTAATATGAAAATGATATTGCAATATTGGAATTCTTCTTTAATTTTTCCCGGTAATAATAGATCGTAATTCCCATAATAATAAATCTCATCATAATTTTTTCTATTATTACCGTTATAACGGCAATGGCAAAATAGTTGAACTTTTATTATCCTTATTTGTCGTTGAACCGCGCGCGAAGCAAACTTTCGTACGTCGGCGTGCAAATCTCCGGCCTCCTGGCGCCGCAGTGAAATTTATTTCATACGTCGACGCGTGCAATTTTCCAGTCTTCCTAATTGAAATGCAAAAATACATTTTAGTATATATTGACATAAGTAAGAAGCAAATTTTGATATTTATAGGTAATATTAATGGGAGCAATTGAAAATTATATTAGGTCATTAATTAGGAAATACATATTCCATGTTATTATCAGTGCAAGGAACGTTATTCTTTAAAAATTCTAAAAAAATAATGCTGTAATACTATAAATTGCCATGGAAAATTGTGGTTTGGCCTTGTTTGTCCGTTATCGAAATTAGAATCAAAACTAAAATTGCCAATTCAAGCTTTGAGTACTGTAATTGCGATGTTATATCGGACAAATTATAATAAGGAACAATTTTGGTATTCAACTTTGTAATTAGAGTATAATTCTGCCGACGGTAAATTAATTCTCTTCATTCTTTTACAATTTTTAGAAAAGCCGTGTGGCCAATTAATGAGTATATAATATTTGTTTAATCCTAATTCTAGAATATTAAATATGCTGCCGAGAAATACCATACTTCAAATAAAAATATCATCCAACTTGTTTATAATGCAATTTATTAACATTATTACTTCGTTCGGTGCTGAGACTGGAAGCATACGGGTAATTTTCGAAATTTCCTATCAGTATAATTGCTAATGAATTCCCAGTGCACAATATTGTACATCGATATAGTTTATCATTGACAACGGCACGTTTCACAAGGCGCGTTTTTAATGGCGATGGGAAGGATTTCCCACAAACATTTTTTTTTTTTTTTTTTTTTTTTTTTTTTTTTTTTTTTTTTTTTTTTTTTTTAATTTAATTTAATCACATAAATTAGCCAAGTAAAATTTCCAAACGATAGAATACGATTAGGATTGATAGAACGTGTAAGATATTTGCTGAACAGGCATCGATAAAAGTAGGCAAAAGTTGCTCTACGGTACATAACGATATTTAATAAATCCCGTGACGGAGCAGCGCCGTAAGAATTGCTCTATTTCCGTCATCTGCGATGTCAGTTGTGGTAACGTTGTACGATATGCCAGGACTCTCGTATAATAATGCGCATGAAAAAGCCATTATCCAGCATACCTACTCCTCCCATACGTACACACACGCTTACGTGTGCAAAGCCAACCGTGGGCTTGTGTGGAACGCCGCTATTATAGAATGAAAGAGGAAAAGGGAGACGAGATAGAGGAAGAGAGGGAGAGAGCGAGAGAGGACGATTAAGAAGGACCATGAAACCGCGAAAAATCAGGCGTCTAGAGCCGGCAGCACGTGACAGGGCGGCTCCCTTTTTTAAGGCATAGATCAGCGATGCGAGGCCCACAGCCGTCACCCGCGCCCATTCCCATCCTGACAAGCCGACACATGTGTAAGCCGTACCCCGGTCGCCTCACAATCACTTTCTTCCTCGGATTTTCTTCCCCTGCCACAGCCTAGCTTTTTCCAATTTAACGAACTTCATGAATCCCGGTTAAATCGTCCCTTGCTACTTCTGCACTTTCAGATTTCCACCTTATTTTTATGAGCCTGAATTAGCATAATCGCACTATCTTGCAGGTGCAACGCCAAATTGTAATTTTACCCATCTCCCTTTCCATTTAATAGGCACAAGTATACCGGAAGCCTTATTTAAACTTTTCGTTTCCTCGTCCGACCTCGTCACCACTCCTCGCCAGTTCCTAATCTTCGCCCCCCCCCGCCCCACCACCGCCACCAACTCTTCAACGCTGCCGTCATCACCGACACCTCAACCACCATTTTCACCTCCGTTCGCCTCCTCGTTATTCAACTAATCTCATAGGGATTTCTAACTTACTAACAAACATGCAAATACGAATATGGAAAAAATTGTAAGCACTTCTCTTCCAATCCATTTCCATTTTCAAATGCCACGCCTATTTGATCACTCGTCGACGTAACAGTTATTTCCCACTTTCTATCTGGCTCTAACGTCTATCTGGATTTTAACGTTTTCAAAAACATCGAAACACCGAGTCCCCATTAAATTCATCCACGTACCGATTATCCCTATTTCCTACCACAATTCCTTCTCTATTGCTCTATGCTCAGAGAAATATTAGAGAGCATAGGATGCTATTAGGTGTCCACTCAAGGATATCAGAGTAAATCGATGATAAAGATCCGAGTGTGTTAGCATTGGGGAATACCATACATAATCCTTGATTATGTGCGCTCTATATTTATATATTTATGATGCGATAGTATCTTATCTTCCTTTCTTTGTCCGACCGGAGATTTCATTTGCCAGGCGGCTAAACGCTTGTAATCCAGCGTGTTGCCGAACGCGAAGACAGTGCTCGGAAAAAAAAGCCGATCCCCCCCCCCAAACCCCCCCCCCCCCCCCCCCCTCCACGGCCATGGTTGAGCTAAACTCACCGTCGCAAGCTCGTGTCAGCAACTTTTTT